TAAAAGGTAGAAGGCTATGAAAAATTTTCCTAAACTTTCTGAACGATCACGGTAGCTTGTAAAAGTTTGATACGAACAATCCCTCGATAACAGCCGATAAAACGTCCAATTACGGTATCGGGAGTGGCGGTGATTCACTAGTTACAAAAAACATACCGTTATCAAATAAATCCTTCGAATCTGATATACCTAGGCCGCCAGCGATATTGTGATTTAAAAGTCGATCAAAACAAAAGAAAATTTGCGCAACACGAATCCAAAGCTCGCACTATGATCGGCTTGCAAAGAATGGTCAAAGATCAGAAAAATCCTGATCGATCGTTTAATAGCGGAGCTTCGCTCCAATTAATTTGAACTTTTCGCAAACCAAGTACTTATTTCAAATAAAATTGATATCGGTTTAAAGGATACACCAAATACACCTCAGATATTATGGTAATTAAAGTAAGCTGTTGCGGATGATTTTTCAAGACTAAGGGATGTCGGAACGCATTGAACAAACGTTTTATTTAAACGCAGTAGTGGAAAGAAGGCGATTAAAATCGATGCTCGTTCTGTCTTATTAAAGGCAGAATTCTTCGCGCGGGACGCCAACCTGTAAGCCGTTGAAACATGTCTTCCGGTATTACGTTAATGGACGAGTTTGTCGCAAAAGCAAGAAAACTCTCCGCCATGGTTTACGATACAATTAAACGCGCGTAATTACCAGCAGACGTTTTTGCTAGCCACGATTTAACGTGCCCCGTGACAACACAATTTTTCCGAAACGAACCGTATCGATCTAATAAAAATGGAAATTTTTATTTTACCCGAATCGACGGGAACAATTCTAGGATAACAGGAAAGGAAGCTCCTTGTCGCAATCATAATTCTACACGAACGGAATTAAAACGCGAACAAAAGCTAGAAAAGTACGTCGCTGTTTCAACTTATCCTACAATTCTAACCATAGAAAGAACGATCGTTGGATAGTTCAACGGATAATGGTTTTCCCTATTGGTCGGACGGAATCAATTGTCCTGGAATATATCAGGACGGATCTCTCGATCGTTTCCGTTCGCGTATCTGACGTTCGTCGAGCGGAAAACGCGGTTGACAGTCGCACAAAACCCGGACAAAAGGGGAAAATCAATACGTACGATCAACAGAAATTTTCCGAATCGTCAACAAATCCTTTGTAAACCATATCCACCGACATGCTCTTCAAAAGGACCATCACTCGCCGGTGGACGAATGAATTAATTTAAAAGCAGTGAAATTTATACGATTTTTAAGTAAATGTACTCGAGAGAATTTCAGATTCAATCTTCTCGTGTCCTCGTTCATTTAAAAAAAAAAAGTCAAGCAAAAACCTCAGCCTACATTTCTGACCCGTTTTCTCAACGCTTTTCCTCCTCGCCTTGACCAGTAGTCGCGAATCTAAATCTGGCTCAAAATGACGAAATATTTTTAAATCCTAACAAAAATGATTAAAACCGATGATATAAGAATAATTTGCCACTATTTTTCTCTGATGGTGAATAAATTTCGCGAAATATAAAGGCAAGAATGGCGTGTGCGCGCGAGTTGGCGAGGAACTCGATGCACCGGCATAAAGACGAGCAGCCGGGTCAATGACGTGAAACAGCCATCTTACACGGTTCTACGGATCCCCGTGGAGTTGGGTCATCGAGCTCTCCGTCATATCCAGCAGGGAATAGCAGGAGGACGGGAAGGAGTATCTAGCGAGACGCGAGACACCGACTATCTTTCCATTTACACCGTGTGTCATGATGAATTCGGTACGTTGCGTCGCTGCGAGAGCGAGAGGATAAATAGAAAGAGGACGAGGAGGATCAAGGGACGGGGAATATATTTGCATGGACGGAATTGGAACACCTGGATATACGTGTCCCGGAGAGAAATTGCACGAAACGTCCTTGCTCCCTTCTGCCATCAGCTTCGGCCCCCGGTTAATTCGAGATAAGTGGTTGGTTAATCTACCGGGCGATTTTCTGAAACGAGTTCGATGGACGAGATCAGACCATTCTCTTTTCATCCTCGACACGCTTCCATCCGAGGAGGGAAATGGCCTCTCGTTAAACATTTTTTCTTATTTAAATGAAATAATTAATTTCGAGCTGCACGTTCTCGCGCAGCCCTTCAAAATTTTCACTTTTATTTAACTTAACTTTTGGAAATGATAGTCACCGATGCCATCATTTCCAATAATTAATTTTTTATACTTGATTTATTTTGTTAATAAAGAGATAATTTGAGCTCATCGTTCAGTGTTTCTATTATCATAAGTTTCTTACATACGGCCTGTTCTAAAAGGTGTGCGATAACTTTGAAAAATTTCGTCAACCCGATTCGACCTGAATCGAATCGAACAATTCCAAGACGACTCGATATTTTCAGTCACAAAGCGTCAATTGTTCGGGATGAAAGAAGACGTTTCAAACGTACGATAGAAGCGAGTTCTTCGAGTTTGAAGAGTAGGAAAGAAAATGGGGATAGGTTTGGGCAAACTGTCGCGAATAGAGGAAAGATCACTGCGGGCTTGGTGGACGTAACGATAGGGTGAAACGACTTGGCTCGATGACGTCACTACCTGCGTTACAGCTCTGCCAACACCTGGGGGTATGGGTCAGTCTTGGCCAGAGTACACGAGGAGCTATCGTCCAACTATTCCAAGTGGTGCAACTTCATTTGCAAGTGAGCTGCATTTACCGAGAACGCGATACGCGAGCTCAACTTCCACGAAAGTATTTAACGGGACCGAGCCAGAACCGTCGTTCTTCGACTCTCGGACGAAAGGAAAACCTCTTAATGCGTTCGCTAGCTAAGAACCAGATGAAATTTCCTTCCGTAACGTTACATTTTTAACCTGTTTTCTCAGTGAAATTTCACATTCCCCCGGCGGTGTGTACTTTAAATTAAGAGGAAACCAGATGGCAACGTTGAACCGTGGAAAAATTATGGTATACAAGATGCAAATTGCTTTCTTTCTTTTTCCCCTTTATGATTTATTTCACTATCCGATTAAAGTAAGCAAAATAGAAAATCGTCAGGCAATGTTTAAATTAACATTTCGTTATTAATTAACGAATATTAAATACATTCTATACTAATAACGTTTAGTTAATTAAATTTTCATTACGAAAATAATTAACGAATCTGTAATTGAACGAAACTTATTAAATGTGTTAGCGCGATAGTTAATTGGTTACAGATTACATAAATAGCTGTGCGGATAACAGTCGATTGCGATGATAATCGATCTGTCGTTCGAGTCGAATCGATAAAGGTGCCTTACGTAAGTGTACGTCACGGAACTGTACTACGAGCTTGTTCAATTCACAGGAACAAGTATCATTGATTCCCAGAATAATTAATGTAGGTCAGTGTCGAGGCAATCAAACAAACGATACATTTAAAATACTCGGCACACTTGATATAACACGTCAAATATTGCCACTGATATATATCATAATAAGTAAAAGTGTGATTAGAATTTATTTATCAAAATTAAAAATTCATCCGAAAACTCGAGTAATTAATATTATAATAGATAAAAATGTAAAATTTAATCAATATATACATTTCGTAATTAAAAAATTGATCCGAAAACTCGGGTACCCGAACCTGACTTAATTTATTCAAAATATAAATCTAATTTAACGTATACTTGTAAATTGTAAAGAGAATAAAAATTTCAAGTTTAACGCCTTGAAATGAATGAATGTTTTATAAAAAGCGTCTAGTGAAATGTCTGACCGCGAGCTAGCACGGTTCACGGAAGGAAATGTTCATTAAAATGCTTCGCGTTCCGATCGTTTAATCGCTGCTCGGTTAAGGTCAACGATTTCCTATCGCCGATACGTTTCTATGAACGATTTTCCTCCTCGCGAATGTCCGTCGATAATTCCACCCCTCGCTACGAGACAAGAACGTCGAATCGAATTAAAACGAGGATCATGCCCTCGACCGTACAACGAATGGCTAATTGGTCGACGATAAATTCGCGTTGCAATGTTAAATCGGCTCGATTCGAACAACTACATCGACGAACGATTGATTAGGTACAACGACAACGGTCATTCGTAACAACGAGTTTCCCTCGACGTCTTTTTGCGAACAGTTATCGAGCAGGCAAGTCGCGTAAACAAAGCGAGTCATAAACTTTTCCCCGTATTTCGGTCTATCGTCGTTTCTACGAAATCGCGTGAATGGCCTACGTTCAAAACATAATTGTAACCTTCCAGGTACCGTATTCGCTAGAACAATAAGAATAGAACCGGTCACCACCCCCCACGGCAATCAACGTATTAAAATTCTAATTTCAAAAGAATTCGAACGGCAAAGAAGGCTCCTCCATAGGGCTAGGTTATTAAAGGTTCCATTAAGAGGGGTAAAGTTTGAGAAAATTTTCGAAAGTTTAATGGAAACCCTGTGGGAATATGGAAGCCGTTTGCGAAGAAACTGAATGGAGTATTATGCGAATAGGCCATCTGGGCGGACCAAAGTGTACGGCTTTCTATATTTGATACAGAAGCCATTCTACCGAACTAACGTTCCCTTCCCAGATACTGTTTATACTGCTCGTTTTATTATACGCAGATATTCTCTTCGTACCGATATAAATAATACCGCTTAATTTATTCTGTATAATATCAAAGAAGCATGTGAAAAAGATTCGCAAAATATTACATGCACTTGAGTCGATGCAATAATCGTACGCGATTATCGATCGAGGAATCGCCGTTCACCTAACCTCAATGACAGGATCGAGGAGCGACAGTGAACTTCTCCGGGCGATGCTATTCGAAGGGATCGAAACGCAGGAAGACGGGAGAAAGAAGAAAACCAGTTCACTGGTCGCGTAGAGCTACGTGACGTACGTAAAATAATACGGTTTCCAAGAGGGAAGCGTCGCGTCATTGGTCGCGTCCGCGAGAGCGCGTATTCCTGCAGTTCGATCATTACTTGTATGTAAAGGAGAAAATTCATCGACTTACGTCAACTGCAAGCACCGTTCTCGATCGATACACCACGATATCTCGCTTCCTTTCTCCTCTCTCGTTTCACGGTCTCTGTCCCTCTAATCACAGCCCCGTGGGTCGTACCTTTGTTCTTTTCGCGATATCGTCCCGATGGATTCACCAACAATCACCAAACCAGAACTGAACAACCAAGGCACGAAAGTAAAATAACGCGGAGGGTACGGTCTTCTTTTGTCACGGACAGGTTAGGACGCGAACGACAGCCAGGTCACACGCGGCAAAACAAGGGAAAAACGTCGAACACAACACACACGCGGTCGTGGCGATTCCGGCACAGCTGGTACGGAACGAAACGTCGTTGCGTCGTTTCCACTCGAAAACTCGACCGTGTTTCAAGGGCAAGGCTAGCCCTCGTCGTCGAAGGAACAAGATATTTTCATCGCGTCGCGAAAGAAACGGAACCGATTCACCGGGGGGGGAACAAGTACAAAAATGCTTTCAGATTCGAGTGTACGAGCGAATATCAACGAACCGACCGGATCGGACTTTTGTTACGCGACAGAAGAGGGAAACCGTCCTCGCCGTGAACCGACTCCCTCGATGGACGCGACGATACTGAAGCGCCGGCGTGTTTATTGTCCCCACCACCGAGCTCTCCCCACTACTCTCTCGCGCTCCTACCGAGCTATCCCCACTATTCGCGTTGCTCTTTCCATCTCTGCTAACCATGCCGGATTCATCCCCTACTACTACCATCCTACTCACCCTACTCGAGCTTCATATTCAACCCTCTTCCACCTTCGTCGCCGGGTCTCAGCTGTCCTACGGGTGTTCTGCTTCCAACATTTTCTTTCTCTCTCACACCTCTTTTCTACGTATGTTTCTCCGTCTCTTTCCTTACGCACCCCCGATTCGCCATGATGCACCAGTGGTCCAGAATTGAAATTTACCTGTTTAAGATTTACAAACAAATATGTTAATTAAACATTTCTACTACCATCAATATTTTTTAACTGTGAAGGACAATTTGCAACGTCCTTTATCCATCCCTTCCCCTAAAGCTCTCGTCCCTTTCTCACACCCATTGCGGCGTTTCGTCGCGTCGAAACGTTCCTTTCTTTGTAGCTTGAATCGAAGGTACAAACTGGGTCGTTGCGTTCACGGGTGTTTCGAGTGGGGTTTTTCGTGTTTCCCCGGGGAAAGGGGCTGCGAACACGGTGCACCCCTTCGAAAACACGAGGCTTTCGTGAAAGTGAGCGCCGCTCACGGGGACGACAGGATGGGAGGACGGCGTTCTCGACGAGAGGGATCGCTAAAAGCTGACCGAGGATTAGCCGAAGTCTGTTGGTGGCGAATCCAAGAGAGCGGGTGACACCAAGGATTCACCCCGGCGAAAGTGGCTACGCGATAGAGGGAGATGCAAATGCGGCTTGCCGAAAGAAAGTGGAAAAGGAAGAAAAAGAACCGCGATACTCGAGCCTCGCCTCGGTTCCTCTCGAGGAGCGCCGTGACGCCTGAACGATTCCGCTCGAGGATCGCTCGGGATTATGTTCTTCCTGCTGCTTTTCTCTTACGTAATGCCGATAGGAACGCGCGTTCAACTTTTATCGACCGTCATGAACATGCTGACGTGATTCAACCTTATATCTCCGAGTTTAACGATCCTCCATCCTCCACACTCGGATGAATATTTGTCCTTAGTTTTGAAACTTTCATTGCCTTCATTGTAAATGTACATTTCTTTAAATAAACGAGACGTCGAAATCACTTTGATTATTATTTACTCGACAGAGATCGAACGGGGACGAATAAAATTTCTTTGCCATAATACTCGTCAAATGTGTTTGTAAATTAAAAGCAAACTACTCGTTTAGATTCAAAACGGATAAACGTAAGGATAAAAATCATATTTGTGCAATTATCAGGCAGGTATTCATCCCTTTCCCAAGACGCGTTTAAGCCATCAAACCTGACCTTTTCTTCGTACCAGCGACACAGTCATTTATTACGGTATTCATTTATTAAGACCACCTGGGATGTGTGCTGTAATTATACGGCCTGACTGTACGAAACCAGTTCGACATCGAGCGTGGCGATAACTAAGGACAGCCTTATACGTACTCGGCTAATTTTTATTTCTTCCTTTTCTTTTCGCTCTTTACGAGCATGGAATTGCTGCAATTAAAGAGCTCCTCCGTGAAACTTGACAAATTCGCTGTGTTTTGCCTGGTCACGCATTCCCTACCGTCCATTTGTTTTCTATTAATAATTCAAGTCTCACAAGGTAATTATATTTTTCACCTTGGTCATTTTTTCATTTACATTTTATATACCGAACGATCATTTGTTCTACCGGTTGTTGGTCGTTCCAATTATCTCTCATTCGGCTTGCTATACAGTTTTTCACTTTGTCTTACATTCGATTTACAGCCGGTTTTCCGTTCATTGTCGCTTTAACTGGCGCTCAGGCTATTTGCAATCGGTGTTAACCACTTGTTACCGTTTCTATTTTTACCTTCGTTTCTAAAGTAGATTAGTCACGTTCCCTGTTCTTTCAACTAGTACTCCTCGTCGAACGCCACTTGTTCCTTTAACGTTTCCTTTTCCCTATTGGAAGCTTCGAACGTCTGGCTAATGGATTTCGATTTCTGTTTGGATTTCTTCGGTTTCCTGGTTCGAATGCCTCTTAGTTTTATATTTATACGCATATTACGTAGGTAGCTTTGTTCGAGTGTGTACAAGGATGATTGAATAATTGCTTCCCGTAATCGTTTTAAAATGAAGATTTTTCAGAATTTTTACTTCCTCTCTAGGAAAATCTACTGTACACACTCAGCTCGATTACTCTTCAAGGAGCTCAGGTTGTAAGTTGAAACGCAGATCACAGGGCCCATCGGACAATAAATTATAACTGGATCCGGAAACAATTGGCAAGGTGAGACCATCCGCGACGCAGCACGCATTCTAATTTACCTGCGCTGTACACAAGGCACGACTTTATTACTCTCGCCTCTTGTCACGATGAGTCACGAACAGGTTCCGCTCCAAAGCGGACGAATTATCAAATAATTTGCGCAATATGCTCCTTCGCGTGCTGCTGTCGTCGTCGACGATGATTCGAAACGAATAATTCTCGTTTGTAGAGGGAATATTTATTAACGGAACGAATTATTTACAATCGTCCCGAGAGAGACTGATATTTTACCAATGATTTTTCCAAACGATACACCTTCGCAAATTTGCACTCTTTGAATCATGGATTCAAATATTTGGACGGTGTGGTTAAAAACGTCGATATTTTCGTTTCGAACAATTTCAATTCTTTACCAGCGAGGTGCGATTGTTATTTATTTAAAGTTGCTGATTCTAAATGGCACCTCGGTCAAGTATTCCGAGACTCTGATTAAATCGAGTTACGAATAACGCTTCGAACACTGATATTTCTATCGTAAAATATGTTGCACCCCATGTTTCACGCCATGGCCGCGTTAAATACCGTCTGAAATACCGATAAAGCTATCTACAGTTAAAATCGAAAGTACTCCGTGCGCTTAAGGCTTGAATTACATTAGCGATTCAGTCATGGTACGGTCATGGTCCGTTCAAAACGCTATTCAATGCTCTTTGGCGTGACTGGACCGTGAACATTTCAGAAGAATTATAAAACCTGCAGCAAGTAACCGGAACCGTTTCGTGAACTTTTGCAAACATCGCTTTTCCCTGCAATTGATTCGAATCAAAATATCGTATAATTCACACGATTTTATCTCTACGTTGGCAATTCTGCTGGAAAACATACACTTTGGGTGAAACAATGGTAATTGAAAAATGACGTTGCCTATGAGGTAAGCAACGAGAAAAAAAACCGGGTCTTGAATTACAATCGCGAACGATGATCTGAAATTCACGAAACCGAGCGATGAATCAATCAAGTCTGATGTAAGCTGTCTCTGCAAGATCCACCTCGAATCTTCTATTCCATTATTTCTCTTTTTATCTCTTTGATCGTCCCGATTTCTCGAAAATCCAATCATGAAAGGAACGCAAGAATTTATAGCGGGATCCGTCGGTGTACCAGTTTCTCTCCGGAGTACAAAGCGAAAGACGAAAGAAGGAAGATTCGTTTTCCACTGGGTTCCATCCGCGTTCGTTATTCGCCTCGCGATAAATCCGAGGGAAATTACGTATCGCGGCAGTTCGGGAAAACAAATTGGCCGTGGTATACCGGTAGAAAATTTCGAAACGTTCCGCGTTAAGTTAATCGGTGGAGGAGCAACGGAGAGAAACGAGGCCGGTGCATGCGAGGCGCGAGTGAATCATTCCGCGGAAATGGCGGTAACATTCACTGACCACAGTCACGGTTTCTGGCAATAAGCGTTAAATGCAGAGGACCGTGATGCGACTGGCAAACCTGTTGTGGCCCGTAATAACCCGCGCGTGTTCGCCTTCGAGCGGACAGTGTCGTTTTCCTTCCCGTAAGCCGTCGACGTGAAAATTCATCCCCCTTAGCAAGAGGTTCAAGAAGGCTCGATGAATTATCGTTGAATTTAAATAGAATCCTCCGTGTTGCATCACGATTCACGGGGCCATCGAGTTTTTGTTGCACGGTAGCGATTTCGCTTATCTATGAAACGGAATTTTATTGGTCCCACGCGTCTTCCGTTCGAGGCTCATTATAAAAACGGCCGATCGAAGTGTATCAAAGCGTTCTCCACGGAGCACGTCCGAGCTATGAAATGATTTAAACCGAAGGAACGAGTTCTGTTTGCGATCTTCCAACGTGTCGTTAAAGGTAGCGATTTATCATAATTTATATGATGCTCGCCAGGCTTAACGAGACGGTCATCCGATTATGTTATTACAAGCGTGGGTGTCATTTTGATGTACGCCTTCCCCGCGGCCTTCCAGCTTCTAAAATATGCATACGGTGTGCGCGGGTTGCCGTTGATATCCTCCCCCCGCCTGCCGCTCTACCCTCCAAATGTAAATTTATGTATATGGCTGTTCGCTTCTGGCACACGGTTGCTCATTAAACGTTTAATCGAGTAATTATTCTTCTGGATCGCAGGATGTTCGTTCGATCTTTTTTCTCTGTGAGGTCCAACAATCTGGATTCTAGATCCTAGACTTGGGTACTTGAAAATTTTCACCGATTCGCGAATCTTTCGTTCGATGGATCCTAGGATCTTTGAACTTTGCATTTAACTGCAAGACGAAATCTAACGAGCATCCTTTAAACTCGTTACGTAATCTGGTTTTAACGCGTGCTTTCGCAGTGTGTATCTATGTTATGTAAATTTCAGCACACGGTTTAATCGATTTTAGCACGAGCCCGCCGCCCACTCGAAAGCCAAAGTTTAACGCTGACGCACGAACAAATTCCACTTTACCAACTGAAATCTCACTGTACATCTGCGATTCATCCGATAAAACAACTCGCGTTCGTCACATTACTCGTCAAAATACGAGTATCATCGTACGATTGTCAGACCCTCGGGATCCGAGGAATAATCGCAGACAAAATTTCTATATTCAAGGCGTGATCTAACCCGTAAGGATCGTAGACAAAAAGCAGACCGCGATCGCAGGCTCGTAAAAGAGTCGTACATTTTCCCGGTATCAAA